TGACCCACAGAGGTCCCTTCCAACCCCTACTATTCTGTGATTCTGTGATTCTGTGAAGTGCATTGAGAAATTCTACCGATATTCCTAGGCACAAATACAAGAATCTAAAATCATTACTTCACTTTAAAGGAAGCCTAGACAGCTCACTAATTTGGCAGACTATGGTGTGACCTACAGGCTACCATCAGGGCTTTCAGAATATACTGCTATGCAGCTGCTGATGCCTTCTTCCCTTGGCCAAAGTGTTAACCTGTTTCCAGGATTACTGTTTTGCAAAATACTGTTAATAAAGCAAAGAGTTCCTCTTCGTAATCATTTTTTTCCAAGCACAGAAAAATTCTGACTGTAACAATTCTAGAATCATTTGACACTTACTCTTTGACATCACGAAGCTGATCAACGTCCTGAGGTTTTGTGAAGTCTGGATCATGTGCCAGTAAGTGAATCATATACGGTACCACATATTCAGGCAACAATGACAGCAATTTTTCTACAGTAACAAAAAAATTAGAAATGACCTCTACATTACACACACAAATACATCACAAGAAACACTTTTCCAAAGTATTACTTTTTCAAATATGGACTGTAAAATTTTGACTTGCATTTTCTTCCTACAAATGTTACTTTTAATGAATCATTAAAAATACACAAATAAGTTCTACTACTACAAAACTAATTGATTTTTTTTTTTTTTCCAGGAAGGTCATAAAGCCTAAAATATCAGAAAAAAAATTTTCTTTTGAGCAAAACACCTACCAAAATAACAGCACTGTATTTTACATCTGTAATTCTCAGCAATGTACAGAGAAGTACTTTATGCTTTATGTTAATGTTAAACTAAGTAAATTTAGATTTGAATGTGTCTAATATAAAAATGAGGAAACGAATTAATCTTATCCAGTGTTTCTTTACAAAAGCAATTTGCTTTAAGTTTTAATGATTACTTCTTCCAGTTTAATATTTGACTATCGTATTCTTAACAATTTTACTGGAATACTAACCGTTAGCCATAGGATTCTGCTTAATATATTCTCTTCGTATACTGATGTTTTTGAGCAAGCACTGTCTGGCATGTGCTCGTCTCTCCTTCACAGGGTCTTTGGCACACAAAGCAAAGATTGCCATATATTCCAAAGGGAGCAGTAATTTCACAAGTGCCTTATGCAGTTTCTGGGCAAATATCTGCCTCACTTGGTAACACTCATCCTATAGCAACATAAAAGTGCAACCATAAAAATCTTGGTCTTAAAAAAACAAACCAAAACATTCAAGGAGCAATTATGAGGACACTTAAAAAATATCAACAAGTGCAGCACAACAAATATTTGAAACTTCAAGAACTCTTTTGAAAGCTGCAGTGAGGAACACGAAATACTCAATGTAGCAGCAACAAGAGCTCAGATGTAAGGACTCTGAACTCAATTAATTAAAAGTCACTTCGATTCAAATGCAGTTACTTACATTAATGACAAGTGCACAGAGCTGGAACTGTTCTGGGGTAATTATTTCATGGTAACAGGGTTCCTGTGCAAGCTTCATTATTGCACTACCAGCAGCTAATCGCAGTCGAGACATATCTGATTTACTATACAAACATGAGAGGGAAAAAACCTCAAAACACAACTCACCACAACTATCCTTAAGTTACTTGCATGTCACAATTTCTTCCTTTTACAAGATCAACGAGCAATTACGGTTTTTCTCTGTCAGATCAGATCACAGTTCTATAGCTTTAGATCAGGCTAAATTAACCCAACCAAATTTGTGGAAATAAGGTGCTCTGCTTTCCCTGCAAAAAACTTAATTCCAGTAAACGGTGAAATGAGAAGAGTCAAGGTACTTGCTTCCATATCACTGTCTAAATGAAAACAAAACTTTTGCCACAGCTTTTCTCTTTCCTTCCCTCACCCTCAGAATGATGATGAGGTGCAAAGTTATCTCACTGTTGGAATGAAGAAGCTCCACCCTAGGTCACCCCACTTGTAAGTGTGTCAAATCTCCTCGCTCCATTGTTTTCAAAGATACTCCTGCAGGTCTTTCACTCTCTACAATGTCTTTTACTATCAAGGTATCTACAGGGTTCTGAGGTAGATTATTAGTAAATTACAAGAAAGAGGGAGTAGCAAGCATATTTTTATACTGCCATTCCACTCCTAGTAATTAAAACCCCAATCAGATCTGTTTTCTATCATCCCATTCGCCAACACTGCGCTCACCTTAATATTCTAAAAAAACTCCAAAAGAATTAATATTCTTTGAAATTCTACAACAAATTTGACAGAAGCCTGAGAAGAACAAAATCTGACCTGATTCGCTTCTGTTCTGTCAAGTCTCCTTCACTGACGAGCATAGCTGATAATAACCGGAGTGTGGAATTTGCGGATTTCGACTGGTTGTTTTTCATACCCAACAGCCAGCGTACCAAAAGTTTAATTGCTTGCACCTATTAAACATGAACAAATCAACAATGAACTTACTTCCTAAAGTTGGTAAGCCACTAAATAAAACCTACTGTAGTCAAACTGAAGTTTCCATAGACTCCTATTTATTAGAGCTGATACATTTTTAAAGGAACAGAATGAAGCAGTAAGTATTTACAGAGTGAAGAAGGAAGTAGCAGTCTTTGTGACATCAGGACGTTTCAACTACAGTTCAGTGTCTTCTCACAAGTGCATCTAGACAATGCAGATTACTTGCTACATGATTAAAAATAAGAACAACTAGATAAACATTTTTGAAATGGCCATAATTAGATTCACAGTAAACAGCCTATAAAGATGAACAAAATAAATTCATCAGGGTCTCAATTTAATTCAAACCTGTTTACAGTCAACAAAGTCAAATAACATTTCTTGTAAGGAAAACTAAAACTTTTGAATCTCTTCCTGTTCTCAACAGTCAGTATAATTAATATCAGTAAGTGCATACACTAAAATGCGTAGTTTTTACCAGTTCTATAACCATGTGTATAATCCACAAAAACTCTACATCACTTCATATTCTAAGGAGACTAATGCAAAAAGCACTCAAAGGAATTTATTCTAATATTCTCCATTGCATGACTTGGAAAAAAGTAAATTTTAAAATCTCAGATTTACACATTATTACTGACAGCAGTTCATTCACCTTTGCTAATACTTCTGGAGAAACTTCTTCATCTGGAGACCATAATTTTCCATTTTTCTCACCTGTTGACTACAGACATTCATGTAAGTTTAAGAACCGGTTCAACTCATACAGAAAAGCCAGAAGCAAGAATGGAAAAAAGTCATGGACTAAGCTTTTTTTTCACATAAAGATGTTTTATAATGCAATTATCACCGTACTAGCCACTTACAGAATGTTCCCTTATTGACACATTTAACAAAAAAGCTCTATACCCCCCAGAGTTAATAACAGGAAAACAGAATAGTAAGGATTTCTCAAAAAAAGAAAATCTTACCCTGTCATTCATTAGGAGATCTTTCACTATGAAATTTGCAACAACAGATTTCATTGGAGAAGCAAACTGGTCTGGAGCCAACATAGAAATATGACCCAATGAGACTAATGGAGTTATAAGTTGTTCTGGTACATCAGCATTCAAACTTCTACTAAGAGGCTGAGGAACAAAAAAAAAAAAAGAAAAAAAAAAAATCAAAATTCAATTATAGTTAAGTAAGCTAGCATGTGTAAAAATAATTTATTTTACTGCTGGAATGCTGATGAGCTTCACTGTTTTTCCGTAAGTATTAATAAAGTTAGCAAATCAAAATGAAGAAAGAATGAGATTTCCTAATTAACAGAGTAACCAAAAATCTCACGTGAGGTAAGGGCAAAACGAATTTTATATTCTCTTGCTGTTTTAACGGTGAAACATATTCAAACCTGGGAGACATGGGAAAAACTCTGACTCAGTTCTATTCAGGAGTCATGAAATCCTGAATCGTAACTGCAAATGGCAGAAAATAATAGCAGTTAATCTCTTGGAAACCACCAGGGACCTTTCTATCAGCGATCAGTATGTCCCTTCCAGGTAACAGTCACCAGGATAATTCCATGCTGCTGTATCACCCAGCACCTTCATATCGTGTTCTGGTATTAGGGGGGCAGCATGCACTCTCACAGAAGTCTAAGCAGAGATCAAACTCTGTAAGCTTAATTCAAAGCTTTTCAGACTTCTGAATTATGCATAGGTTCAAATACAGCCAAGATTAAGAACCTAAGATATTTTACAAGTGCAGATTAATAATGTTACTATTTAAGAGATTACAGTGAAAAGTAATAACCTCTCTGCCCTGTATAAGGTGACTTTTTCCTTTACAACTTGTCTAAGCAAGCAGTAAGCAAGCAGTAAGCTAATATCTGAGCTTCCAGTCAAGTAGCTACTCTGCATTAACCTCCTCTGTGAGGAAAGTGCGGTATGTGCAAAGACCTTAAAGCACGGTAATTTAATTCAGTTTGAAAGTAGAGGATGTTATCGTTCATTTAGTATCTGCTAAATGTGTCCTCATAGGATTTCGTGTGCATCATTGCAGCATATTTAGCTTATTTTCCCCTAACTTTTCCCATGTAGACAAAAACCAATACCTTATCTACCAGACATCAGAGCATTAACAAAATAGTTACTGTAAGACGCAAACATTAATAATTTGCTATTGTAAAATTAATGACTTCTCTTGACTACCATGAACCTGTAAGTTTCCTGATCTCATAAATTGTTATCTGTTAATGAGTTAATGTTAATTACTAGTATCAATTAAGAACAACAGAAACAAATCTTAAAAACAAAAAAGACATACCTCAAAAATCTGTGCAAGCTGCACTTCTTTATTTGAAAATATGGCATGTATACAGTGAACAGCTTGTTTTGCCTGATGAGGAGTGCCTCTTTTTGCTTTCTGATGCAAAATCGGAATTAGTGTTCTGTGAACATTAAACAAAATACTTCAAAATACAATTTGCAATCTACAAAAAAATAAAGCTCTTCACCTATACAGATCTATCCCCACAGTCTTATAAATCAAGCATTCCTTTGAAGTCTGTTCAGGAAAGACGATAATCATAAAGTGAAATGCAGGATGGAATTGTATTTAGTAATACTTGTTGAGTATCTGACTGTACACAGTTAAGCAGAAAAAAAGTCAAACACGAAAGAAAATAATGATCAAAATAAGGCTGTTTAGGAAGCCAAATATAAGGTGGGGGGAACCTCACAGGTTCAGCTAGGGTAAACTCTGGGGCTTCTTATCCAAGCTTAGAAGCGAGAGGGCTGAATAAAAGTTATGTAAGCAACAAATAACCATTAAACATCAGTGTGTTACAGGCCTTTACTGCTTTAACTCCGGTTTTTAATCACAATGTATGCCCAAGTGAACAACTGCTTGGTGCTGAGCTTTTGCACTTGAATCTCCTGAAATCTGTCTGCTGATCAGAGGCCACTGAAGGCAAGAGCAGAGCAGCAGCCACCCCAGAGACCAGGTCAGGTCGGTCAGACTGTTCGGTTCCACTCCTGAGAGAGCGCTGGAAGGCAGGCCTGTCCCCTGAGCAGTCATCGCCTGAGACACTAACTCATGAGGTTTACCATGCAACTCACCCAGCAACTGACATGAAAAAACAAAAATTGCCTAGAAAGCATCTGACACACAAACACCTAAAAAAATACCCTGCTTTCTTGAAAGGCTCAGTAACAATACAGCATTTGGTACATGGATTACACCCAGCCCTCACTGCCATGTTCTACATAATCAAAATCAGCAGCAAAAGGTGGAAGAGCAGCTTGCAGGGTTGAAAGAATGAAGTCTCTAACATTTTCCTCAAAAACTGCACAAAACCCCAAACCAAACAAAAGACCCCTAGAACAATGTTAACAGTATGCTAAAGTAGAAGAATATCTCTTCTCAAACCTGCTAAGATTCCACAAGTTGGATTAAGAACCAAAATAGCAAAGAATTCAGTAAAACCTACAGTTAAAACAAGCTTCAATGCCTTATAGCTTTCACAGTGTAAACATGCACATTAAAGGGCCTTTGCCAAGCACCAGTGTATCAGTTATAAACCATCTCTCACCGCACACCTACTGATATAAATCTGCAAAAGGAGAAGCCTGATATGTTGCCTTTACATGTGTACAACTTTACACGTGGTCCATAGGCTTTCTTTAAGCATGGCCAACTCTTCCATCAGACTCTAGTCATACGGCAGTCCTTGCCCATGAACTGGTGCACAAAGCTATCCATCTTCCATACGAGGAAGAACTTGGGCTACTGCTGGTGAACAGTACTTCCAAGGAGAGCCTCCTCACATGAACGTCTGTTTTTCTTTTTTTAAAAAAAACCAAAACGGTCACTTGAAATAAACTATCTTGCTTATTATATCAAATCTTTCATTTAAGACATAGGTTTCTGAATATATGAAATCTGGAACATCTACTTGTCCTCAGACTTCTTGTTCTTTGCGGCAGTGTAAACACCGACCCGGTTTTGGCTTTCAGAATGTTAACCTGACTCGCTTACAAATTCTGCCAAGGGCTACACCTCCATTTTGACAGTTGTATACTTAAGTTATTTGAGACTGCCCAGACTATGCTTCAGCAATGCCTGCCTAAAGGCATGAAGCCAAAAGCAATGTCAGCAATACCAGCTCCTTTGACAGAAGATGATATACCCCAGCAATGCACAATCTTGACTAAACTCCATTAGGGAACTACAGACAATTGAGACTATACTGGGAACTGTACTGACAATGGGGATTGCTGGGCTTTTCCTTCTCTTATCCTCTACAAACGTCTTAAAAGGCCTCTCATACGTGAACTTGTAACATTCTTCTTTTTCCCCAAATCCGATTCAAATCCATAAGAATCGCCGAGGTTACATCTTCAATTCATTGACAATTTAAGCTGTACATTTTTATGCATTTTAGCATGGTAATATCCGATGCTACTTCAACATATGAGAATTTGAAACCTATGCATTATAATCTGGATTAGTTACTACCAAGCTAATTTTAAGGTTTTAGATGTTGCCCACAAGGTTTTAAATAGTCTGTGAACACCTACTAGTTTATGCAGCTTTAATCAGCAGTTAAAGCGCGAATTGCGTGACGACTTATAGACAGCCAATTATTCTTTGTTCGAAATTCATGTCCACTTTTGGATCTTGTTTCACAACTTGTTTCACAACAAACAGAGCTATTAACCATCAGAGATTATATTTTTGTTACTTACAAAGATAGAAAAATTGTGTGAAGGACAGATGTAAGTAGAAACAATGCCAAGGAACTACATCTTCGCCATATTTTTGCTGCTGTTTATTTCGTAACCTGGGAAACATGCTACATGCTGTTTTAAATGTATCTATTATAAGAAGATTTTTAAGAAGTACCTAACTTCTTCAATAAATACAAAAAAATTGCGAGAATGCAGAATTTTAAAATGAAGAGACAGAAAGGTAGTGAAGGAATACAAAATGATGGAAAAGAAGTTGTTCATATTTACAAGTAACTTTAGGGGTAACACATTGAGCAAACTATAGAGAGGCAGAATTCCAGGAATGAAAAGCTGCATGTAAAGAAATATACTCACGATCTTATCTGTGGCAGGTCTGTTTCTATTTTGTGACCCGTGTTTCTGAAAATCTGCATTGCTGCCTCAGCTACCTTATCATCTTCCATCCTGAGGCACTGCAGCAGAGACTCATAGGTCTCTGCAGAGTGGAACGAGGTAGGATGTGTAAAGGACAGAACCTGTAGATACACATTAAAACAAAGGTATATTTATTCATGGTAAATGAAAAACAAAATTATGGCTGCTTATGAGCATTCCTATCAAAATACATACCTATTGCATGCTCATATGAGATTACTACATTCAATAACTGCATTTTGGAGAAGGTGATAGAGGCATTTTCAAACAAATTCATCTATGCTTTGTTCTTCAGGTCCTCCCCTCTGATTATTTTGTAAGATACTACATTATTTGAATATGTAAACATATTTATTAAAATAAATGCTTATTCAAGAGTATTTGTTTATATTCCAACCTACTTAAGAACGCTTTTTTCAAACTTCATTGAACTGAAATCTTAATCTCTGCAGAATCTATAGTCCCTGAGCAGAAAAGAAATCAAGGTTAAGATATCTACTAACAAAACATAGATTACTGTCCTTTTAATCTAAAGCTAATGAAATATTACACATTCTGTAAAGTAGGAAAAATGTCAAATAAGAAAATAAGCGTGCAGAGATTCAAGGCAGGACAAGAGAGAACAAAAGGTTATTCCAAAGCAAAACTGTATTAAGTATAGCAAAGTTTAGATAACATAAGGCAGGGAGAACAATAAAAAGTTGCACATATTTTGTGCGTTCTTCGGATTTACCTTCTCTTGGTTTCTTTGATCAGAGTTGCCTACTTGCATGAGTATCAATGTGTGAAATAACATTCTCAAAGACACCCATGTCATGCAAACAAAATCTTCAGCCTTGTCAGATTTCACTTCTGAGCTACCTTAGTAAACAGACATTACTGCCTTGCATACTTCTGTATAACTATTTCTACCATGGTTGCTATTACCTAATTTGGTGTGGTACATCTCCATAAACTCCACCTCATTCATTCACACTTCTGAAAAGTCTCACTTTAATCATGTAACCTTCCCTTCCATTCTCTCCCATATTTTATACTACCCTTTGTAACATATTGAAAATAAAGTCTCATTAGGCAACAGCCAAATCCATCACAGATGTTTTCCAGACATTCCAAATCCTTTTTCTCCCCCAGTCATTCCTCATCACCACTGAGAACACAAGTTCACCCATCCCCTTTTTTTCTTCTACATAACTTCGCTCTCGAGTTTATTGCTCACTTTCCTTCCAGTATTATACAGGCCCCAAAGAACGTGTCTCTCCTAATTTCCCCATTTCTCTTCCTCTCACTTTACCTCTGCACCTTCTTTTATATGACTTCCCTAAGCAGAAACCAATTTCTGCTTTAATGTCCGTATTTCAACTCTTGGCACCCTTTTCAAAACACACTTCTTCCAAAAAAACCATAGTTCTTCAAAAAACAAAAACACCCACACATTTTCACACATTAAAAAAGTAATTATCTAAATAACAACTATTAAAACCATGCTAACATTAATTCATTAGTCATGCCACTTTTGTCCCTTCCATTACAAACCATAGCTGCATTAATGTAGATTACCTTGAGAAGTTCAAGTCCTGCACGAATAGCAGTATCAGGACTTACACCCTCCTCTTCATCATCAGCTGTCCCCTCTATGGATTTATTCATTAGTTTTACTAGTGCACTAAAATAAGAGACAGAAAAAGAAGAAAACGAATGTGAAAATGTAGAATGTTAAAGGCCGGAGATATCAATGTATTTGTTTTTGGAATAAAAAAAAGGAAAAAAAAAAGGGTGGGGGGGGGGGAGTTTTGTGGTGGTTGATGTTTGGTGTTTTTTTGGTGTGTTTTTTTGTGTTTTTGATTTTTATTTTTTTTAATCAAGCTATTCCATTATTCATTTTCCTTCCAACTCAGCTTTCTTCAAAGTTAATTCTCTAGGTAAAAAAATACAAAAAACAAAACAAACCCCAAACAAAAAACCCACCACCACATTGGCAGTATTCAGATCAACACACAGTTGCATGAGTTTCAGAATGTAATTAGTTTGCCAGACAAGTCTCCAAAGAAATCCAAACATTCTCTTACATAATCCCACAAAGGCTAATTAATTCAACTGCTATATGTAAGACTGTGTTGCAGTTAACCATGTGAAAATTATGATCATCATTTTCACCTTAAGCCCCACAAATACCAGTTTCACTAGGAACAACTACGATACTTCAAAATTCATTTACAGACAGTACTGTAAAGAAGTGGAAGAAAGTAAGTTAAAAAAAAAAACAAAACAAAAAACAAACAAAATTGAATCTCTAGGCTGCTGGAAATAAAGATACCTACAAAAAGCATTTTTTAAAAAAAGCATATTTACTGCTAGGACAGACTAATCTAAATTCCCCCAAACACCTTTTCTTTTTGTCATTTAAATAACCTTTATAATCATTCATGAGGTAGTATGATCTTTCAAACTTACCTAATGGCTTCTGAGTCAATATGTACAGGAGCAATTCTTTCCAAAAGAAATTTGACCATTTCCAGAAAAGGATTTGTTGGCTGCTTAGGATTTGCAAGTTTCCGGGCTATCTCTCTCTACAAGAATGTTACATACAAACACGAATTATACTCATTTTACTTATTTTTTAAGCATGTTGAATAAGCTAACCACAGAGACTGTCTATATAATCAGTGAGATGTATTTTAAGGGGTGGCTGTTCTTATCTCCAAATCATTCTTTACCACGTTATATTGAAAGCAGACATACTTCACCAGACTATTTAAATGTAAGATGCATTCAGGTTTCTAGCAAGAGTTCTTCAGAGTTTCTTAAGGAATGGCAGGCCAGATCCACAACAGCATCAAGAGAGAGCGAAGTGTAATGCAGATGGAATTCAAGTATCTATGTTGACAAGAGTAATCCATAAATCTGTAGGTAACCCTGCTGCATGTGTGAGATTTCATAAGCAACAATGAAAAAATTGCACTGAAAGCTACTGCAGATGTGCAGAAGCACCACACTATCTTGGCTACAACAGATGTTCAGACCCTATGTATTCGCCTATGAATGTTTTGGATCCAAAAATCTGTTTTTCCCCTCTGAATGCCCCAAATGTCAAGAACAGTAAATTCAGCTGAAAACCTAGCAGAAAGTGGGTAAGAAGATATTTTTCGTTCTGAACAGAAGCGTAAAAACCTCTTAAAGGAATTACTTCTTGACCCTCCTTCTAAAGGGTTGGATGCTGCAGACCCTACAAACTAGAAAACTGTTTTAACTATTATTCAGGAAGCGGGAAGAAACCTTCCTCTTGAAATTGCACCACTGCATTCCCAAAGTGCAAAACTTCCTAATTTAGAAGGAGATATACCCTGGACAGTTTCAGAGCCATTAGACAAAGCCCAAGAAACCCACATTTGTTGATGCTCTCTATCATGATTTCTGTCAACGAAATTGCTTACTTTATTTTGGGACCATAATGAAAAAAAATCTGTGACTGTTGGCACAATCTGTAAGTCTCCAGAAAAGTCTGATTTAGTATTAAGGTGTGTATTTTCATCAAAGAGGCTAAATAGATGAGAAAGACTAATCTCAGAATAATGTTCTAGGAAGAAAACCAGATTAATAATATGCAGATTGTATAATATTTGACTTGCTGGTACTCCGAACAAGATTCATCAGTGTCAGAAAAGACACTTATGAAATAAAATATTACACAAAAAAAGAAAAACACAAACAAACAAACAAACAAAAAAAACCACCCAAACCCAAAAAAACCTACGAAAAAAACCCCACCAAACAAACCACCCTGGTCTTTTAGTCTTTGTGCTTGGTGCTCATAATCCCAGGAAGGAATAAAGTTAATGTTTTCTTATGAGCAAGATGATGATCATAAGTTATATTTTCCACAATCTCTACAGGTTAACTAAAAACGTATTTTATGAAAATCGGAAATACATGAAAATCATGTTTAGTACCAAAAGATACCACTAACTCCAAATAACTGTTTTAAGGACAAATATTTAAGGCATAAAAGTTTGCTCTTCCATTTCCTTACCACACAGATATCTGCCTGTTTACAAGAACATGTAGGGCTAATTAACAGTTCAAGCTGGGACCGAAGTTTCTCATCGTCACCCAGAACCTGATTGAATTTCTTCACAAAATCTTGTGCTTTTCCAGGATCTGGAAGGTTTTCTGTGCAATTAAACACAATTTAACATAAGATAAATTTGCCACTTCAGCATGCCAAGATTCACAGAAATACAACTTCCAGGAATGCTGTAGTAACAGTTTATAGAACTTATCAACACTTACTTGCTATGGTCATCAGCTTTCCAAACATTGCAGCACTGTTTGCTTCTGACTGAGGACAACAGCAAAAACAAACAAACAAATCAACGATATCTCCTTTATAAAATATACCTTAAAAATACTTAATCTGATCTGTAAAGTTCTTCTGCAGCACTTCATTCTATCCTGGAGTCTTCTGTTTTTGTTTTAAGAATAAATACTTGAATAGTGTAACAGTATCATTAGCAGCTACTACACACAGAAAAAGGGGAAACATCTTCTAGCAATATCAAACTGCAAAAATTCACTAATTCACATAACGGATCAAACCAACTGTTGGAAAAAGACCTCCAAAAAGACCCCAAACAAACAATTCTCCCAAAGCCCACCTGCACACCACAACCCCAAAGCAATGCCTGTCTATTTAAAGTTTCTGCTAGTTTGAAGATATGCTTATGAGTAAAATTCCAGTACAAATACTTAAAAAACTTTTGTTTTCAAACAAATCATTGCTTTATGTTACCACACATTCCACACTCAAAATACGTTATGAGAAACAAAAAAATATGTCAAAACCAAACAAAAAAGCTGGAAATTTTTAAAAACTTTTCCCAAAGTTATTGACCAGTAATATAAAATAGTGGTAAACACAAGGAGGCCATATACCTCTCAGCATTACTGAAAGTAACTTCACTTAATGAGAATGGAACATCACCTACATGTGGAAATCAACAGAATAATAAAGTCACACTGAACAAATAATACAGTATTAAGAAATCCCAGTAAATTAGTCTAACAGGTCTCCAGGATGAAGTATTAATATTTTCAAAACCGTACAGTGGGCTGCTTATGCAAGTCTAGTAATTCTCGTACGTGACTCCTCAGCATGTTCTGGCACTTCCACATCTCATTCAGTGCTCTGCAAAAGTGCAAAACCAGAAAAGAAAAGCTTACCAATTTGTTCATCACGAGAACATGCTGCATGTATTAGTGAACAAGGTAGTTTGTTTATTTCTTTATCTTACAAGTGCAACATCTGCTAGGTACAAGCAAAACATACCAAGTACCAAAAACAACCATTCCAAACAAGGTGGAACTGATTTTCTCTTTCTGCAGAGCATCATCTCTCTGATTATTCTACTTGGAACAATTTCACATATGTAGGACAGCCCCATATGTCTTACAACTGCCCACATTATCTTGAAAATAACATTTTCAACATAAAAACCAGGCCACTGTCAACCAAAATTCAGTTATAGATATCTTCATCATGGACCCTAATACAGAGCAAATCTACAACTCTTTACTTGCACATTTCTCACTCTGCATTGTTTTCACTGAATGAAAATGAATGGATAAAACCACTCTTCTCAAATATCAAGGTATCTTTTTGTCTAAAGGACACGTGCAGTTTCTATATAAAAGGAAAATGTTTTGAAAGACTACTTGCAAATAATACTAAGCATCAATTACTTATATTTTTATTTAAATCCTGATAATACGAGTACGATTATGTAGATGGTGGAAAAGCCTGAGAAAGCAAGTATAAAGATTTTCTCTACCAGTAATCTGCAGGAAAAGAAGAGATAAAACCTGTACATTTCCAAAAGTGGTGATACCTTTCAGACAAGCTGAAAGAACAAGAAATATCAGAAGTCACTGAAACTAGATTTTCCAACAGAGAAGGAAAAAAAAAAAAAAAGTAATGGTCTTTGTCTCATCTGTAAAAATCTCTTCCATTTCTGATAGAAAGATTAGCAAGAACTGCTTCTTGAGAGCTTTTCCATCTTCTTTCATTTTCTCCTCTGAGAGGGAGCAATTGCTTTATTTGTCACCATCCAAATTCTCCTTTTTCTTTAGGCTCTGAGAATCTCCCTTTGTTCACTCTCATATGTGAGCGAAAGGGATACAGACAGTAAAAAGCCCAAATAAAGGAGAAAGAATACAAGAATTTAACTTGAAGGGGAGGAAAAGTAAAAATCTGAAGTATCCTCAAGGCAAAGGTTAAGATAAAATTATAGTATTTTTAAAAAAGCAAAATAGTTAAAACTACTCATTATCTTAATACAGAAGCTAAAAATCAGCATTAAAAATGTATAGACAAAGGAATGCCAGCGCATATACAACAAAAGGAGCAAAAGGGAAATTAAGTGAGAGCAAACCAAACTAGCAAAAATATTCTCCAATTCTCTTTTTTTAAAAAACAGTAATACGTATTTAAGGTTTTACAAAAAATACAAAACTTGAACTACAAAATATGACTGTACAGTTAATCTAATTATAGCCCCCTAAATGAAAGAACATTCAGACATTAATTTAATCCATACCAATGACAACTGTGCACAATGTTCAGCTATACAATTTTATATTTATGGACAAATATTTTGTGTGTTTGAATTTATAAACATTTTCACTATGATTCCTAGGAAGTACTCTGGGAGTGCCTTGTACAAAGAGCATAGAAGGCAGCACAGGTCAAACATACCTTATTTCTGCTCAAAGAAAATTCTAGGAGACATGACGGCAAGGCAGAGGAATAAAAAGATGATAATGAATATGGATACAACTATCTCAAGGCACTCTGTTAATATTAACGAAAACTTGGCTTTCTCCCTTTAAATGTACATTTCACTATTGATGACTCCCAAGAATGAAATTACTTGGGGAACAGGATCTCCAAGTCTCAGGAGACTCATCTCCGTTTAATGTACGAGGAGACTGGAGGCATCAGAGTTATCTTACCAATTTCTGAACATTGCTCTAGCCCATGTCTCTGCAGATACGTGTTCTAGAAAAGTTGCCAATACAAATGGTGACACTGTATCATGCCTTCCCTGGTCCATGCTGGTTAGGGTAAAGATTTACAAATTGGCAATTCCCCTTTTCTCCTACGAGGAAAATCATTGGCTAGAATATCAAGAGGGGGTAACAGGGCGATGTTTAAGATATGGTTATTTTACTCCATTCCCTATACATTTGTTGTAAAATAAAGTAACTCAGAGCACACTGGTGATAAGCAGTTCTTATGGTTAGAAGTTTCCAGTCTTGAGCAGACGGACATCAATAGTCAACTAACATCAAAACCATTAAGTGACTTAAGTATGTGTGGAGAAAAGTTGTGCCACTTCATGCCCGAATACTGTGTGACAATGCATTACTATCCTTTGCAAGAAGAACTGGTGTTATCCCATGCACACAATGGAAAACACTCCTAGGCTCAGACAGCTGTTCACTGTCACTTTTTATCCTCCTCCTTCATTATGGAAGGAAAACAGGACAGAGATGGCTAATTTTGAAGTATGCTTGTGTGTTCAATGGATTGGATGGACTGTCTTAAAAGATCATGGCATTTCTACAGCTCTTCAGGTGCTAAAAGTACTAACTTTCTAATTTTGACGTGCATTTTGAAATGCATGTACTCCTCCACTCTAAGATGGGAAAACTAACACAACGGTGTGACTAAGCAAGAACTTCATTTTCAACCTCAAAAAACTAGCAGAGTTTGGATTAAAATTCAGGGTACCAAACTGAACTAGAAGAACGCTGAAAATCAAACCACCAATCTTTCAGTGCAGATACACAGAAAACAAACAGCATACAATCCATGTCTACTCATGAAAAGACCAGTTTCAGTGGCTTAATCAGACTTTCAGAAGCAATCATGTCAGAGACAGAAACTCGTCTTTGATGACACAGTCTTTCCTTAAAACTCCTTGTCTCATTTCCCTGACAGTGTTCTGCATTTTCCGTGAACAGAAATATTGAAAACATCTGTCCCATTCACCATGGAGCTTTGATTCATTCCCTGCTCACTATCAAACCTGTGTACTGACAGTGAGACATGAACATGCTAGAAAAAACACGACTGAATCTCTCAATGCAAATTAAGGCACATCTGCGAATTAGCTTTATATGAACTATATGGAGATATCCTAATTTTTCACTATTTGATACTTCTACCTCAGCAGACTTTCAGTGTCATTTCTGTGTGTACAATCTCATACCTATATCTTTCTTCTTTTTTAAACAAAGAAAGCAACTAGTCAAATATGTAACTCTGACCCACTTAGGATCAGCCAGGCAAACAAAGTGAGAGCCTTCACCACTGCAGCAGTAAGAACTCACTGTCATAACTGGCAACTGAAGGAGGCTATTAGCCCATTCAGACTAGTCACTAAGAACATGAAATGTACTAAGGTAGCAGACTATGTAAGCAAGACGCTAAGAAACAGTACAAAGAAATGGCTGATTTCAGAGTCTGCTGTATTAAAAATCTAGGCTGAAATTCTACCTTTGTGTGATCTCATAGTCTGGCTTTCCCTGTGCAAGACAAAGAATTAATAGTGAGAGTCGAAAACTATCTTCCAAAACCTTGGTCAAAATACTTTCCCCTAAGGCAAAATGGTATTTCAAAAATTAAACAGACTGAGTGACAGAACAGTGAAGACTAGTCAACAGTGGAAGCGCCCCTGATACTTCTTCAGCTTTTGTTCTACCTAAAGAGTCTGTTTCTACATAGTATACCAAAAAGAGATGTCTGTGCATGCACTGTGGTGTATACATGCACAATGCTCACAGATGATGGATTTTAACATCCTAGCCTCTGGAAAGTAGTAAGGCAAACAGAACTGGGTATAGTAAATGCAAAATTTGACTTTTTTTTTCTATGCAGTGGTTAGTTAACGACAATCTACTAACATCACAGATCTAGTTCCGTCAGTAAATACAATGAATACATGAACAGATAATGAAACCATCCTGAATATCTTAGTACATGTCTTAATGATTATTAATTAAATATATCATACTTAAAATCACAAATATAGAACGTGATATAACAGCTTTCTCAGGATAAACACATATTTTCAGAGTATCTCTTATCACCATACAATTAAAATTAGGTTGACTCACTTGTCATCAATGCTATTTTGATAATATATGTGCAAAAGTTTATCCTTTATCCAGCTCACTTTCTCTGCAGCATCTTTTCCAGCCTCTGCATGAAGACAATACTTCTTGTATAGCTGGGCAAGACCCATCATAGCTTCCTTTCTTACTCGCCACTTGAGGGGGAAGAAATAAAAAGAAGGTGGGGAAGTGGTTTTGGTAAATAAGTATCAAACATATATAAAATACAGTAAAGATGTACAAGTGTGAAAGACAAAAACCGGTCACATTCTGGCCTCCAACATTTAGACACTTCCAAAGCTGAAAAAATGCTGTTTAGAGCCTCTAGATGAGAATTTGTAAAGCTTACATAAGAGCTGTCCTTCCTGTACTATGAAGTATTATCTGTACAAAGGAATCCAGTACTTCTCTGTGCTGAGCAAAGAAAATCTAGGAGTTAGTATAACAAAAGTTAAGTACGGTTTAACATGCATGCCTAATTAAGTGCCTTCCTGAGCCAGGATTTGGAAGGCTTATCTGTTCCGAGACAGGCAGCAACCAGGGGCAGCTCCCCAAAGCCTTACACTGTCTTACAGTACACTTGTCTAGAAACAGGAGATCTGGAGCTGAGGCCTAGCTAAACCTGCCAGGGCTGGAACTCTTTGGCCACTTTCCAGGGCAGTGGAAGAGGCCCTTTTTGCTGAAGCCTTGAAGTAATTGCTGAAAGACTCCAGGCATCCAGGAAAAAGCCAGACTATAACATCCACAGATGGAGCTCCTGGGTTCTCATCCCTGCTTTTGGTGGTCACTACTTTATCCCCTTATATAAGCAGGAAATGTCCCATTATTAAACACTTCAACGGACAAGATCCATAAGCTCTCCTACGCTGACATGTAGGAAGGAATCATATCAGAACAGATTGAGGATTAATTTAGAGAGAATAGTGTCTCCCACTGGATGATTTACACAGAAAGCCTCAGAAGAAACTTGTCTTCCCTCACCATTTAAAAGAAATGCACGAAATTAAAATGGAAAGAAAGAATTTCTTCCAGAACACACAAGATATCAATTTTGGCCTTGAACTCCAAAGACTAACAATGCTCAAATCATTTCACCCTATAAAGCATAACTGTAGACACTATCATTCACACTGTGCATACCTTCTTCAAACTCGTTAAACTGAGGGCTTGTGTTAATAACATTGAGATACTACACATTTAATTTCTTAATAGTTTTACTGAGTGATTTCCTTTTCTTGAAGGGCAAAGAAAAAAATCTTGAAGATAATGTGGCTTAAGTCAGCACAACAGTCTCAGACACCCCTAGCTGTTGCAGTAAGTTGTAACAGGAAAAAGATGGAAAAAAATTTCTATTTTGTTACATATTTCTTAATTATTAAAACCACAAGTAACAGGTCAAGACCGTAATGACATTGACAGTATATAGTATAATACTTTGTTTCCACAAAAGAGAAAAAATTTAGAAATAAACAGATGTTGTTTGACTTCTCTGTAGGAATTTGCTCACACCCATTGCGATCTAAAGCACACTTTAAAGAAAATAAAGGTCTGGAAAAAAACGTTTTCAGAAAAGTATTAATGTTTCTCTGCATTCAGATATACCTTTCCAATGCAACTGATAGCTTCATCAGATTTCCAATATGAGACAGGAAGGATGGCAAAACTATTGCCAGAAGGCAATGGAGAAGGATTGCAAGAAACTAGTCTAGAAAATTTAAGCCTAAAATGAAAGCAGAATATTTAACAAGGGGTTATAAGGAAAGGAGGTTTGGACTGTCAATAGATTTCTGACAATTGAAACTGGTGTAGAGAGTAGAAGTCAGAGCATGCAGAAAGGCAGGTTCAGGCAGAAGACAGGAAGCACTGGACAGAATCCCTTAGAGGATGCTTTGAGACATCATGGAAACAAGCCACTGAACAAGAGATACAGGCAGGAAAACAGTAAGGTGCTGCTGAGAATTAAAGTTCAAACAGCATACAGTTAGGTAAAAGATGAAGGCAAATTAAAATAAAGGGGAACATAATGATCAGTTTCAAAGGGAGCAGATCAATAAACACAGCTACCAGAATTACTACTCTAATTTAATTAAAAGAACTTTTGACAGTCTTAGCTTCCTTGGTTAACCAGCATAATTAAACTCCTTCACTGAAAACTGCTGGGCCGAGTTAAAAAAAAATGTTACTGAAAGTTCAAGACAACCCCTTATCTGTTGGAATAGCTAACCTATTCCTTCCATAGAGTTAAGGATATTAAATTCTTAAAATCTGTCTCCTTCATTTCGAAGAAGCCACAATGGTTTTTAGTATACACAGAGGAGTCAAAACTAACACATGCAGAAAAATGCCTAAAGAGAAATAGAAAATGGGAGTCTGTTCCTATGGCTCCTCATTCTATAGCTTTTGACTTCAAGCTGATGATGTGAAAGTCTTGTTCTCACAAAGGGACTAAGTCTCAAGACCACAAAGGCTATTTGGAGCAATACGAACAGAATCCAGCTGTCAAAACTCTCCTCCGACTTTTCAGGTTCTTAAAGTTACTCTAGTCGAAAGAAAAATTACCTGAACCAATTTCAGAAGCTTTTTTTTTTTTTTTACATGTCTCCTGAAACTACTTATTCTGAAAAGTGAAGACACTGAAAAGACCCCAGGGATGGTGCCCCCGTGGAAAACTCCTCAGAACAATTCCTACCAAAGACTGGATTCCAATTTTGGGGAAGCATCTGTTCCCAGAGTTACTTTTCCAAACTGACCAATAAAAATGGATTCGAAAACTATAGGTGGTGGTGGGGTATGTTTTGCATTTTGCTGTTGTTTCTTAATAGCTGTAATCCTTGTGCAAATACCCATACAGATCAACTTAGCTAAGGACGCTTTTTAAAAAAAACCAAAAAACTACTGACTTTAAGCCAAAAACTTTTACCCTAAAAAAGTCATTAGGCTATCTTTACTAATACTGTGACAAATAAAATATATGGTCAGGAGAAAAAAAGCAGATCACATAAATGGCAAAACCGCACGATTTAAAGTTTTCTAGGTTCCACATTATTTTATTAAGGCAGAACTGAAATGACAGATTAGTGTGTTTAAACAATCCGCATTTTACTTCAGCCTATTTGACAAGTGTTCACTTTATAGTAATATGTATATTCATTTGATACATGATTGCAGGTCTAAAAAGGAATTAGATGAAGTCAAATTGATGAATGATCACTTAGAAGTTTACAGTAGATTTGTCCAACAGAAACCTGGCTACAAGGGGCAAATGCAGTCAGCAGAAGATAAGTGAGTTCTTTAAAGCAAAAGAATAATTAAAATAGGTACAATGCACTATGTCTGGAACTGAAAAAATCCTGCACAGAAAATGCACAGACAGTTACACGGACATATCAAGGTCCCTCTCCCAAACTGGAGAAAAATCCCAAATAAAAAAAAACACTGAAAGTTCAGAAGTCCTTGATATTCACTTTGTAACATTAATAACATTTACAAAGACATGTTATATTGTTAAAGTCTACTTCAAATGCTAAACATTTAATGTAGTAGTTTCTAGTCAATCCTCAATTTTCATTTCTCCTTGGGATATGTTTTCATTAAAGCCCTCTCCAGAGATTTTTCTAAGAGAAATATCATCTAGAGGTGAAGTTATTCTTCAGTGATGAATGCCTGAAAAGGCATCTAACCTTGAAATATAATGTATCATCAAACCTGTGACTGGTGTGAAATCACTGAGTCAAACGTATTAGGAACACTGAGTACCACCATACTGGGTTTAAGGTTACATGAACTGAAAATCCTTAACTCCACAGAAATCCGTATTACAGTGTACAACGGACTGGCTCTTATTGATGGTGACATGCCAAAAGGAGAACAGAGACACTATGCAGAAGACAGAGTAACAATCCTTCCATTCTGACTAAGTGGAAGTCGCAGTGGGAAGTGTTGGTTACTCAAAGTTTTTAGATCTCATAAATGACTTTTTCGGCATGTTTGCTTAATGGCTGAAAAAGAAGGAAGGGGTCTTAATCACCCCTGAGAAACATGCAAGGTCAAGCTGCCGCTACAGCTAATTGAAGAGCTGCTTTGTAATAGTGAACATACTCAAAATGCGTATTTCTCTTTGTGCAAAGATGACATCCTTGTCTCAAAATCCATTACAGTAACATTCTCATTTAAAAAAGGGAACACAAAAATGAGAAAGTTATTTTAAAAGAATGAAACTAACTAGCTAGAATAACATACGTTATAGACAGGATGTAGAGTAAGAGACAAACAATGCTAAAGAATAAGAAAAAAGAAAATTATCATAAAGTATGTACACAACGTGGTGCACACCTTGAATGCCATGGCCGAGTCTGGTCACCTAGGTTCCAACGGGATATAGAATAACCAGACAAGAATGATCAGAAGTATGCAATAATCAATTTACATGGAAGTTAATCAGGTGATTCTTTAGCTTGGAAAGTAGAGGAGTTGAGAAGATATGGTATACTTATTTATTAATCGTAAGTGGGTAAAATAATATTTACTATTTTACATTATGCAAGAACTATGAGAAACCCAGGGAAATTATCAGACAAGTTTAAAATAAACAAGTCAAGTTACTTTTTCCATACGTGCATTAAACTTGAATTTACCGATGCAGATGCCATGGATGCTTATGAAGCATAAGTAAGTTCAAGAAAGAACTTTACAAATTCATGGAATAAAGTTCCACTGAAAGATATGATGAACATGATCAAGCAAATTTAAGAAATCCTTGAATCACAAATTGCTGGAAGCGAAAACTGACCACTATGAGAATTAAACTGGGCTATAGGGACCTTTGGCCTAAACACGTGGCAACTCTTACGTTCTTACAATACAACTGTGTTCCTCACAAGTCAAGGATCTTATTTGTGTGACAACACTTGAGTGGTGCCTCCAGAATATGGAATCTACATTAACATGTTCTGGTAAGAAAATATTTTTTCCCCACAGCATTCTAGTTGATAGTCAACTCTGAGATTCTCTGTTTCTATGGCTTTGTTTTTTTGGTTTTACTTTTACCAAATTATATTAGAAGCAGATATTCCTGAAAATAAAATAGTAACACTTACCCGTTTGTCTAGTGTTCTTTCCCTCACAAAGCCAAGCAGCTGGTCATTGACTAAAGAAAGATCTCTCTTGCCCGCAGTAATAATTGTAACAATAACATCATGTCGAATGGCTTCTTCGGGGTCATGTGATCTGACCTTCAAATATTCTATTACAATCAGAAACAATGAAAAATTTGGCTTTTTTATGTAGATATCATGCATTCTGATTTATTAATAATGTTAAAACAACTAAATGTCAGTCACATATCACAACCATATAATCTATTAAACGTATAACTGTCTACAGCAAACATCTGTTCCATCATTTTCTATGTAAAATACAAAACAATTATATAACTGTAAATATCAGAAGAATATACAAGTGAATAGCTTTTACGATAACCTCATCTGCAACAAGCAATGAAGTGAAATAAAGTTGATTAGAACACACTGCAAGTAAAGGGGGGTGGGGAGATGAGAAGAAATAAAAAGAGCAGACACTCTCATTCCCAACGAGCTAAGAAGGTAAATAATAAATGAAAAATATGGACAATTGCTTGCATCAAAAAACCCCAGTATTTTCAGCTCAGCCTGAAATGCTGCTCATAGTTAAACTGATGATGAAGGAAGAATCTTCAGAGTTTAGATCAGCACAATGGCATCTTCCAAACTCAGTGGAAGAGAGTACTGAGGAACACAACTGTTTTTGAAGATAAATCAAGATGTTGCACCAATACTTGCTTTGACTTTCCGAAAGTTTCATTAGAATCTGAAATAACTTTAAAACTCATTCTGCAATGGGTAGCTTTCTTAAAGACTCACTCTGACAAAGTCCACACAATGTCACATACTCCTCTCTTTCTAATAAGTAGCGCTTATCTTCAGCAGAAAGCAGTTACTCAGTAGTTAGCTCTTCCATCCAGCATCAAGCATCAGTCTTGATACGTTTTAGAACTCTACTGCTATGTACAGAAATAATTAAATCCTTCCCTGTTCATTTCTTAAATTATTCTAAACCCCTGTATGAGCATCTCACCAGTTAGGTCTTTTGCTAAGTCTGGATGGTTCATTAAACAATGACTGGCGAATTTCACACTCTCTAGTCTCACAGGGACATGGATATCATTGAACCTACAGGGACAGAAGATAATGAATGTTAATTTTTAATTAGCCTTGTAAATGAAGATTATGCTTTATGTAGTAACATGTGTTGACAGTATGTTCCATTAACTATTAGAATATTTTTATATGGCAAAATAATACAATAGAAATGTTTTTAATTTATCTCCATTATGTACCTTCTACAAATTCTTATGTTATTTCTTATGAAATTCAGTCAGGACTAAAATTAAAGGATGAATATTCTGTATGCGGATGAAATGTTGACCCAATGGATTTTGTCCATTGACTTTTGAACATAATTCTCCATACGCTGTCAATCGTGTGTGTGCCTGGGTATATATATGAAATTATAAAAATATAAACCATCATACAAAACGTACCATTTGGAAACCTTCACTTTTTAAAAAACAACAGATCTCTATATTTACTTAAAAGGAAATATTTCTTCACTCAAAAAGGTAAATGCCAAATAAAATAGATACAGTTCCAGATATCGCTGAACAGTATGAAATTTCAAATAATGCTGGCATACCTATTGTGTAATTTCTGCTATGTATGTGATGTGCTATCTAACCTATATTCCCATAGCTGACAGCAATATAGCAGCAGTCCTTTCGGCTTCTTCATTCTAAAATATCACTGTATGCAATTCTCCGCTTCAAAGATTTAATAAAAGAACTTGTTCAAGTACAAACAAACAGTTACATCCTCTAAAGACACAATGAACAATGCAATACCATCAGAGAATTAAAAAAGAACAGAAATTCAGAGTTCTATCCCCGTTTCTCTCACCGCCCAAGAAAGCACTGCCAAAGAGGACGGTTTTGTGTGGCCAGATCAGAATCTTTGGAGCCAAAGAGTTTAGCCAGAAGTCGAACAACAGCCAAACGTTCTTCTCCATCATTGCTCTAAAAATCAAAACATGAAAAAGGAACTGTAAATCATTATCTGTTATATTTTAATATTTTCTGGCTTCCTTTTGCTTCTGCTTTTATAAGTTAGATTTAAATGTGAGTCTGATACAATTCCTGGTAATCCTCAGCCTCCCTAACTAGATTATAAAATGATTATAAGTAAAATTATACAAATACCTATTAAGTTAACACATTACAGCCATTGAACAGACGGCTGTGCTTTGAAAATTCCTCCTCTTTCAGGAAGAAAAACCCATGCACAGTAGTTTGAACAACATATAACCCTAACAATTTCAACAATGAATGATCTTATTTTTGTTTTAAAATATACTTTAAGACTATTTTATGTGTGTGGAAAAGGCAACAATTAAGATGTTATAAATAGATGCGCATTAATAAGACATATGTAATTTCACCAGATACCTGTTTCTTCGTTATTTTTGTTTGTTGCCACCATACCCACCACCATATACGTACATGCTCACACATAAAATTATTTCTCTTGTCCACTTGCAATCTTGTGAAAGACAAATAGCTTTTTAATTAAAAAAACCCAAACACCCAAATCACAATAGATTACTTCCAAGAATCCAAAAGAAGCCAGCTGACTTACTAGCCGATTATGACAAATCTGAGAAAACGTTTGGTAATATTTCCTCTACTATTAAAAAATTATTTTGCAAAAGAAAATTCTGCAAATCAATTCTGAAGCTGACACACTTGCATTTCAACAAGCCAACCACAGCCCAGTTACTTTACAATTTCAGATGAAATCCAACGATTAAGTACATGTAACTTTTGTATTAGACATGAATTTATCATTTTAATGATTATATATTTTGTGTGCGTAATACATGTTTGCAAACACAGAAAGTACACAATTGTATACAACTTTCCAGTGTCCTTTCTTTAATATTACATTTATCTTTAAAATAAACGTGATAAATATAAAATTTTTATCCCTATAGCAGAACACTTATTAAATCTCTGAACTCTTAATATTCACACAAATTTTGTAACTTGTCCAAAGCTACACTGTAACCTACCTTCAGCTTGAATTCAAGCTGTGGCATGACAGACAGCAGTAAGTGAGGATCTATGGCAAAAAGCTCTTGTATCAAGTCAAACACGTGTTCTGATAAGTCACTTACTGAAGACTTCCCCAGTACCAGAACCTGGTTAAAAAACTAGAATATAAACAATATTATTTAGCAGATTTTCCTTCATTAATGCAAACATTGTTTTTAATGATGCTACATTAAAATAATTTTTAATACTTTAATTCTAACGGAAGGTACTCCATGCACATTTTTTCATCACATCAAAGCATTTCATACTTACAGTTTTGGTTCGAGCAAATTACAGAAAAACATCCTTCATAATTCAGTTCTATTACTTCCATCAGGATCGATTAATTTATGGTAACTTGATAATTTAAGATATCAGTAACTATCTCCCCAGCAAAATTAACATGTAATAAAAGAACTATTAATTTTAAAAATACATTCATCCAGTAGACCTTGAGAAAAAAATTTAGTGTCTTATTTTTAATCTTCTTCTAACTTAAAACCAATCCAAACTGAAGATCACCAAACTGTGAAAAAGAAGCTTCTTTAATTTTAATCCATTTTAAAGAATGTCAGATGACTTTATGTCTTGCAATATTTGACAGTAGTGTACCACGGTTGTTAGCGATCTAACAGAAAAAACCAAAGCAGCCCAAAATATAAATAATTTCTTTTGGATTTGTTAAATTTTAATATGCTTGATGTACTTCCTATTAGATACTGTGGGTTAATACCAATATTATTTGAGGAGTGAAAATGCTACAAAGCTATTACACATTTGAACAAGAAAGTAGGAAGAGTAATACTGAATCATCTCAAAAAGTCACTCTATGCAGTATCCTGTTTCCAGCTATGACTAATTACAAAAGCTCAACGAAACAAGGGAACTGGAAAATGGTACTTGTTAGTGAGACGCCTCATTTTAAATACTTTCTGATTAGTCTTTTACAAATTTGCCTAATTCCCTTTTTAAACTACTCTAACTTTTAAGAATCCTATTGTCTTCAGCACTAGGGAAAGGGAACAGAATGGACCAGACCACCTCTGCCACAAGACTGTAGCAGCTATTTTAATAGGTAGAACATAGAACGTTGACATTCAGCAAAAGGAATTACAGTAGAAGGAAGCCTTGTAAAAAACTCAGTTCTTTTAGTTTTTATGACTAAAACAAGTTTAGGATGGAAAAAAATAAATGTAATAAAGAGCTGCCAGCTTGAAATGCTTCATCCTAAAGCTCGGTATGAAATGAGGCTGTCTAGTTGCTGGATATTTGAAGTACTACCAACTCCTTTGTTTTAACATGGGTTTTTTTGGTGGTCACCTATTTTCACAACCTAGATTTAGGCTTAACTTTAGACCAAGATAGGCAAAAATAAATTTCCTCTTCACTTATTTGAAACACCTCACATACTCCTTTCTCCACCAAGCTAATAATATCCTATTCAGAAAATGGTATTCCTGTAGCTGCATTACAAAATGTGACATTTATAAACAGTATTTTTAAACAAACAAATCTGGAATAAATCAAGAGACAGTTGCAAGAACACTTGTTACTTGTAGGTAACATGGATTAATTAATTTACATACATTGGCAATACACGGCTCAATGGTCTGGACGGTCCTCTTCAACAGGACTTTTGCAAGATCAAATGCTTGTTTATTAAGGTTCTGAAATAAAGAAAAAAAAAATAGAGGCAAACTATTTCAGATTATTTTTCTCTCCCAACCTTAAAAGACCATGACTTTAAAAGGATGTTTTACCACCGTTCTATTCATTTTCAAAGATATCTAAGTTCAGTTATGTTAATTCCACAACTACAGACTCAGAAAAATCTTAAAACTAATTTTTACATACTTAAATTTAATCCAAAGGCATCACTTCCTGCACAGTCTTCCATGATTTTGTCACTCCAGTTGTTACCTTTAGCATTGCATTCATATCTATAAAAAGTTTTCACATGCAGTCATATTAAAAATTTTGAGGAAACATTACCGCAACCTCCATACTTTGATAATTAACGTGCACCAAGTTTTGCCACTGAAAAATGAACCAGTCTAAGTAACTATTTAAATGTGGTTTTGTTTCCCCCCTCACACACTCATTAAATGTACACCCTGTAGAAAAGTTCAGCCTTGTCTAGAGAGTAAGACTATGCACCAACTTCTCTGTGGACTGTACTGTATACTCTGAGAGCCCACAGACAGCACCTTCGTTTAGGCAGAGTTAACTGCCAGCCTTCCAAGTAAACGTTTGACTGCAACACAACAAATCTGAACATTGCTTTTATTACTCTGGAGCAAGACAAGGAACGCAGCTGCACATCTGAAAAATGTGACTGTCCAAATCTGCACAAAACCCAATATGCAGTATCTTATCCCGTCTAGGATTAATGCAGCTTGGGGGGGGGGGGAAGGGGGGGGGGAGGAAAAAGAAAAAGGAAGGTGGATTAGCTGATTGCCCTGAAAATTACGAATGACTGCAGCCAAAATACAGGTAAAGTCTAAGGATGACTGATTCTTGGAAAGACAGTACTCAGCAAGTCTACATCAAGAATGACTCCCTCATGTTCCCCCTGATGAGATGACAAACCAAAAAGACAGTTCATCAAGTAAAGAGAAACAAATGGCCAAAGGCTCAAACAAATACATCCTCAGTAACTATAGCACTGAACTGATGTCTCGTTATAAAAGACACACAGATATGTATGAACTCTTCTCAAATTCAAAACAAAACAGTTTCTCTCCAAACCAGACCATGATTAAAATCTTGTTGCCAGGTATGTCTGTATTGAACTAAAGGATTGCCAATCTCTTACAGAAAATATATTATTTGGATCTTCACTACAGCTTCAAAGATTTATTGCAATGAAATTGTGTTATTTTATTTTTCTTCCTAGACAGTTGTGGTTTTTTTCCCTAAAGTTAATAAAAAGAACCGCAGTTTGATGCCATAAGTGATCTGAGCAAAATATGACATACCATACTGCTACTGAAAGTGCGGATTTGCTAGAGGAGAACCACATTAACACACACAGAGAGAACAATGTACAGTAAAGCCACTTTACCGATAATGGAGGTACAAATGAATATAACTTAGATGCTGAGGTAGACTCTACTTTATGTCTAGGTACTGGTATATTTCTTTTTTTTATTGTAGTATTATCTTACACAATGTAAGAGAGTTAAAAAAAAAAAAACCACCCAACCATAAAACAAATCCAAATAGGAATAATTATCCAAAACATAGTTCAGTTCCTTTACAAAGATGAACTTCCATTAAGCAGAACAGCCTAGCCACAGTGATACTTTTCTTCTGTCATAGCAAAGAATGACTAGTATTCAATTGCATTTTGCAATTTGCACTGACATAAAAGTGTTGTTATTATATGCTCTCTACAAGAAAACAAACTGTGTTTTTCAAGCTATGGTGCTTCTGATTTACATACCTAAGGACAAACAATTAATCTAATCACAAAATTTCCTAGGAGATCCATTCATGAAATAAGAACATGACTACCACAAACTCTGCTAGGCAGAGCAGACAAAAGAACTCTCTGGGGTTTTTGGTGGTTTTTTGTTTTGCTTGGGATTTTTTTTTTTTTTACTACCATGAAAAAGCAGTAGTTCAAGTTCTGCTACTACAAGAAACAAGTTAAAACAGACCAAAATACTGACCAAAGTATGATACTGAGCACTGACTACAGCATATTATTTGCTTGGTCATGATGTCCAAGAGCCAGCAAGGACTGGCCACCAGTCCTTTTAAGAGATACTAAATATGCAGTACAACCCAGTATTTACACCAAGTTTACCTCCCTCTTTATCAGAGCCTTGCTTGGTAACTTCTTTGATTAGGCAACGTTATATGATTAAGCTAATAATGCTAATGGATCATCTTCACTTTTTCTTTGCCTACACCAAATAGTCACAACATAGCGTTCAGCTGCACAAGGTTTATCAGGTCTTGCAATCCTCAGAGCAATGCTCACCATTGTTAACAGCACCACCCAGCACCTGACACACACATCTCCACTACTCTGTTTCCACTCCTGATCTCTACTGCCTGTAATTGATTAGAAACAACTTACAAAGAACAGCATATTTTCAAGAGGACTCTTTTTCTCTATCATTATAAGAAGCCTCCCCCTTCCTGCTACCAGTTTTAGTAAGATGTCATCTCGTTGCTGTTAATGAGTTGATGACGTTCCTGTCTCATGGTCAGGACAGAAGGAATGCAAACTGACCTCAGACAATGGATATTTTCATACACCAGTTGCTGAGATTTCACAGGTAAATGACAATGGCCACAGCTTAGTCATTCCTGTGCTATACATTTCCATGGATTCTCCCTCTTTAGGTAACCAAAAGAATAATCCCTGCTTTTATGTGCTAATTTAATTATGTAGTCATGGATAGAGCTGCCTTAACTTTGTCATTAAACTAATAAATGAACAGAAACACATACTTGCTAATCAGAGTACAGTTCATTTACTGTAGCTCATAACTGAAATTTACTGTTCTCCATACAATTTTCAGTAAGAAGCACAAGTGTTTTAGCAAGGGAATTTTCTTGGTCGGTGGAAGGCAAAACCAGCCTGCATCTCAGTTCCCTGATTTCATGGCTAAGGGATTTGTGCTTATTCTCCTTTCAACTTTCTTTAGCCATTACGGTAAAGGTACTTCAAAAGCTCAACTGCAGACCAGGGGACCAGACAGTAGGTCACACAATAAAACCAGGAGGACAGCATCAGTGACAGTCTCTGAAGAACCTGTCGAAGTAGCTGTGTAGATAGATGGGCTAAGATAACATCTGCTTGACAGCAGCAATCTGCTAGGAGGGGCTCAGGTAAGACTAGTCTAGGAAAGGAGGGGGACACATAGTGAGTTAAAGGGATGCTGAACTCTGCAAAGGGGAGAAAGTCTATCACACAGAATCACAGAATGGTAGGGGCTGGAAGGGACCTCTGGAGATCACCTAGTCCAACCAAACTTTTATGTAACTCACAAAAGAATATGGAGCACTAAAAGCAACCTACCAAGAAGAAAAAAAAAAACCAAACAAGTACTACACTTCAGATAATAGTTTTATTAAAAGGAAAGTTTAAAGGAGAAAGACATGAGGGAAAGGGGGGAAACAACTAGGGAACTAGGGACGTGGAAGGGAGTCTGACTGGCAAGCAAAGGCAAGTAGCAAGTCACCACAGAAGTCTTGGGGAAACCTTTTTCCCTTTCCTTTTTTTTTTTAAGTAAAAAAAATAATTCGCATCTTTTCAGTTCAAAAAAACCCCAAACAACCCCAAAACCAAAACAACCAACAACCTTTAAAATACAAGGTTTTCCTATTACATATTACATTTGCTTGAAAACACTTCTGCAGTATCAGCAGAGTATCACTTGCAGCACAGAGTTCCTGAAGCGGCAAGTATGCAGAATCTCTTAATACTGAATAATCTAGACACAGCTAATGAACAGCATCAAATAACTCCCAAAGGAAATTTTCAATCCGCTGTTACAAGGTGGGGGGGGCGGGAAGCAGTTGTGATTGCTAGAGATAACAACATGCAAAGGGTAACAAAAATTGTTATAATGGTACACTGTTATAATACTTTATTTTACAGACCTTGTGTGCAGGAATGAGGTTAATCAAAATGGAGTCCAGCAGCTCCTGAGTTACTCCATCGCCTTCCATGATGATAGAACTCATCAAATCCAGCATATGCATTTGTACCTTCTGGTTGTGGCTATTACTAAGATGACAAATAATATTATCAATACTAAATTTTCAGACCATATATATTAACAAATATTAACACTACCACTAAGAAACAATGTCTAATGCTATCCAGCTTGCATTCCCTTACACTTTCCACATCTCAAAAACTATTTTATGTGCCCTTCCTCTCTTACAGAAAGCTCCAAAAGCCTAGAACACCCTAGCTTTGCTTTAAGAAGTGAAACAAAACAAAAAAGTAGAAAAGAACAACCATGGAAATACAAATGTAAAAAAATGAGTCAGAATGAAGTATACTGCTGTAACATGGACAAGAAATTTTAAAACACATCTACTCTTAGACACACACCCCTCCACATTGTCAGTAATTTGCACTAATTTGCCTTCCCTGTACCTCCTTGTTAGGAGGAACAGACTTGTTCTATTCAGACACATTTATTTGTAGGCTATGCAAGGATTCAGTCTACTCCTGAAACTGATGATACTTCGAAAGTTTAACATAGTTGAAGCAATTCAACTTACTTGATAACTGAAAAAAGAGTCCTAAAAAGCTGAATAAAAATTTCATTGCAATCTTCCAACTCAAAGCAGATGTTGTAAGATTTAACCCAAGCTAAATTCTAAAACAAAAATAGGATATTCAGGATATTACTTCACATTGTCACATAAATATGATTATGTTAGTTACATTTTTTCTATTTAAGGAAAAATATTACACAATAGATTGTAAACCCTTTGGGGAAAGAGACTGGGTATTTGCTTTGCATATAAAGAGCTCTTAACACAAACGGGCTTTGCAATATACATCCCACAAACCCTTAAATACAGAATAATCTGATTTCTTATGAATAAAAGCAGATTGACAGAAATTATGAATATAGTAAGCCCATGTTTCTAGACATTTTCCTTCATGGTATGAAACAATAGCTTTTACCGTCAATAAAAGGTTTACAAACAAGATACTGTTTCTAAACGTGCGCTGATAAAACCCACAGACTTCTTGTCAAGAGTAGGTTTTTCTAATGTTTTTAAACCAAAATCTTATATTCCTTCTCCCATCATCAATATAAGCAGATTTGCATTTTAATCAGCATTTGAAATGCTCTCTTGATGAGGTAACATAACCTTTAGGGTGCACGATACAAAAAACAATGTAGAATTGTAAGACAAAGGCTAAACAGTAATAAATACCAATCGTTTTAACATGTCCTCAACTATACGCTGCATGAACTTATTAAATGCAAACAGAACTTTAACTAAAAGAAACAATTAATTGAACTTCAATGAGTCTGGTGTGATTTCCAGAATAAAAGAAATTTCCCAGGCATACTGGCACTTCTGGAGAAAGACTGATTACATTTCTTAGGTTTGCAGAGCAAATACCACCAACTAAAAGTTACAATTATTGTGTTACCTCTAACAAGTAAAAGTATCTGTTAAATTGAGGGCTCTTCGTGTCCTCCAAGCCTTTTAATTGTCTTGTAATAAACAAGAATATGTCCTGTCAAAAAATGATAAAGTATTTACAAGCTTGATTCAGCAGAGAGTAAAAATATAACCCTTTAGTAGTGACATCTACCCACATTTACAAACTCATGATATGAGAACATTAAATTGTCTTTTTTAGGCACTGACAGCAAGCTATCACCAACACAGGTACTGGTTATCTAGCATTCCTTCACACATCTCTGGCCTTTAAAGTACTACACTGACTCAAAAGACTAAAGCAACATCTCTTTAACAAAACTGAACATCAGTATATATGCGAGCAAAATTTTTTTCACTTGGATTTCTTTTGTTTGGTTTTGTTGGGGTTTTTTGGGGGGTGTGGGGTGGTACTTCTTCCTCAGTAAGAGAATGAGGAAGGAAGAAAGCCTTTATTTTATACAGCATTTTTACCTTAAGTTTGTCATGGGAAGTATATGGAGCTTCAGGAGCATAGATACGAAAGATATCAGCCAAGCAACATGCTACAAGGAGGCGCACATCTTTATTGGGATTCCTGAGGAAGAATTCAGACGCAAGGTGCAAGGCTAATGGGAGATACTGCTGCTTCTCATCCTCCGAGTCCTGGTCCATATCCATGAAGGTTTTTACCACCATCTGAAAAACACAGAAAAACACCTCCATTTGAGTGCTTTCTGCTTTTATTCCTAATTACTAAAGAATACTTTCTAAAAGGACACAATGCTACGAATATGTGCTCCACCGCATAACCACAGCATTACAATTTTGTTAGGACAAACATCCAAAAAAAGAGAAGCATTAATCTGACACTTACAGGCTTATCAAACTTGTATTTTAAATCAAGACACTGAAGAACGCTTTGCGGCCCCACTTCTTTTGCCAATCTTAACATGATGTGCAGCACAGAAACTGCTGCACACCGATGACGTTGGAGATGGCAGCACCTCTTCATCAAAGCTGTCCCAGATCACTTCCAAGCAAGGACCTGCCTCGGTGCAGACAGTTCGAGGGGCTGCAAGCCATCTGGCCTAAGGTGTAGGCCACTGTATAACACAGCTTCTTTATGAGTTAGGCCAAGACTTGACAGGAGCCTAAGAGGCCAGTCTTACGCTCTGTCTGTATCAAAGCCCAGAGCTCAAGAACTACTTCACATGTGCACAATCCTTTTATCTGGTTTAAATGAACTAGATAGCAGATAAAATTTAAGCCCTCATGTAATATATGTCTAATGCTGGAGATCTATTCTTTCTGCATATTCAAAATTGCATCTATAGCCTTATTTATATAATGAAAAAAAATAAACTACATGGTTTCCTTTTTTCTTCTAGTGTGGCTAAGAACTACCAACTCCTACGAAATACCACCTAAAATGTTTATGTTTAATTATTATGCAACCCCAGTTAACTAAAACATCTCAACACAACCATCTGGCAAAATCGAAAGTGAAAATGTAATCTGAAGAAATACCAAGTTGCAGGTTTAACTTTTGGAATAATATTTGTTAAAGAATGAGGAGCATGACTTCCAGGATGTCAGCACAGACCTGGGAGACATGCCACAGATTCTTAGCATGGTCTTAGTCAAATTGGTCTCTGTGTCCCATTCTTCCGTGTCACCTGAGCATCCTGAAGAGTTAAAACTGTGAAGGACAGCCGTATTGCATACCAGTAGGATTTACTATACCCACTGCACACACAGTATACACACATTAAAGAGTTATAAGAGAAAACACAGAATGATAAATCTCAATGAGTCAAATTCGCCTCTAGAATTTTAACAGTAAAACACAAGAGGAGACTGAGCTCATGCAGCTAGTAAACACATCTCTTACTTACTCTTACCACAATTCCTTTGTTATCGTGTCATTCAAATGATACTAAGATTGTTCCTCCATTATTAAGCATCCCCCGGTTCCAACATGAGAACACCGCACTTCAGCTTTACCGCCTCCCTGAGTTTTGGAACCCAGTTTTAAACTCAGTAGATCTTATCAATTAAAATAAATGTTTGACAGCAACCTTTCCTACAGTATGTTACTTAAAACTCCTCCTCAGTAATCTAAGTTTCTACAAACTTACATCATGAAGCAACCTGTAGCAAAACCAAAAATCAAGACAGAAATGGAGAGAGAAAAAAAAACCCCAAACCAACCAAATAAAGATATAAAAGAGAACTTGACAGCCACACCCCATAAAAATCCAAATTCTACCTGCATTGGCCTGTTTCCCTAAAAATATTCTTAAGCTATATTTTGAAGCATGAGCTGAAAGGACAAAACCATCCTTCTACTGACAGTACAGGTCTGCCTTTTACAGCTATACACATCACCTGTCCTTCCTAGATACTGGAATTAAAAAAAATTGGTAACAGTCTTCAAAATCTACCAGATTCTTTCAATAGGGAAGGTTTAAAAACCCAACCAAACAAAACCATCACCACACCAAAACCCAACATGATGTAAAACAAAAAGAAAAATACACCACACCACAATCTCTCTGCTGGTGGCAGGACAAGGAATAATAGCCTTGACTTGCAGTATGGGATTTGGGTAACTATTACTGAAGGCTTTAAGAACAGGATAGAACAGACTGAAAGATCTGTGGATCCTACCCTGGAGACTGATGATAAAACTGTACTTGTACCATATAAACTTGTCCCACTGAAGTTCCTTGCAGTCTTTTTACTAATTTTACGGTTAACCTACAGAAGCGATCTTTTGATCTTTCTCGTAAGCCTGATCTCCCTTCTCCCTACATGTATTGTAAGCTTCATAACCAGAACTTCCTCCTAGATTCAGATCTCTCTTCGGGTTCTCATATTCATACGACAATTTGCATAAATCTTGCATATATCCCTTCCCTGATCTGTCAAAACCAGACAAGGTAAGGCAGCACAGTGCTGTAAAAACTCACACAACTTTCCCATTCGGTAACAAAATGTTAGGGTATTCTGGTATTAAAGTAATGAAACCAGTCTTTGGCATTGTCTTGCGTGTTTGAAAACACACCAGCCTTACGGATTTTCCTATGTTGCTCTTGTATTCAGAAGGAACTGCCAACAAATATCCACAAAATCTCATTCTATTTCCCTGCAAAGCACTCCTTGATATTTCTTTTCTATTAGAAAACAACACTTGGGTAGTAACTGGGCCACTGGCAAGCGGCAACTGCTATTTAACATACTGATGTATGTTTCCTCCATTGTTTCTTCATAGTCCCGTATCTGCCTGTATTCGTTTGTTGTCCTTTGCTTTCCAGCAGAGTCTGCGGTGCATGATGTTCTGTTTATGGCATGAACAAAAAAATGAACAGAATACTATCCTGATCTTTATGTAGAATCCCAGATGCCAAAGTAATACAAAGAATGGATAATGTGTACGGGGTACACAAAATATATAGTCTAATACAAATAATGAATCTAATATATAAACAAACTACAGAAGGCTGTATCAGGGTTAAAAGCATGATGTAAAGTCTTGCTAGCGGCAGGACACATATTAGATTTGGGAAAAAGGGAATTAATAAAGAATTCCATTTAAGTATAACCCAAAAATTTCTTGGACTGTCATCAGAGTTCAACAAAATAATTCTATACGTTTCTTGAATATATGCAATTAACTGTATCTAAAATCCTACAGCCTGGGAGTAGTCTCTATAGCCAAGCAACTAATGGCACTAATTAAGGTATTACACAATAGAATTATTTCCAAATGCCTGCTAATCTACATATGAAATTAACTGTTAAGATAAAAGGAAAGAAAAAAGTCCATATATTAAATACAACATATGCTTGGCTCTTCACACTTGCTAGAAAGCAAAGAACTTGCTCAAAATTTCACCAGTTACAGGACTGGTACTCTCACCTTCCAACACAATGGAAAATTAGTTATCAAGCAACAATCAAGAGAGCAACTTAAGTCTTTAGAACTAAAAGATATTGTATGTTTGATGAAATATCACTTAGAACTGCGTATCCTTGAGCACAACACACTGACCAACGACCGTTCCACGATTTCCTGGGGTACTCCTGTCTTCCTCTCTGCAATCATCCATTGTCTTGTTTCCCCGAGGACAGAACTACCTTCCCTTCCCTCCCCATGTTTCTGCCACATCTAATACAAAGTCCTGGTCTAGGACTATAGTTCAGAAATACATCCATAACACAAAGAAACAAAATGACAACATACTCAGGTTCTTTTCTGTGTTAAGGTCTGACAAAGTTACTTCTAATCACCTGGCACTCGTATTACTTGGGATACACAGAATCAACGGAAATATTAACACGTAAAGTTAAGCACACTTACCCCGCTCTTTCAAAAAAACTTTCTTAAATTGTATTGTAGTCACAGTTCCCGCTCTTTGTGCATTTCCTGTAACTCCTTTACATTTCCTGTTACAAATTATGGGCCTTCTCAGAGGAATTTACCAAAAACCAAAATAAAAGAGTAGTATGCAAGCTGCATGATGCCTAACAAATATTGATAACACCTTATGAAGAAGTCACATCTTACAAAGAACTGCTCATGACTGGTTCAGAAATAATTTCATAGTTAAAATTTTGTATCCTTACCACTGCAGTACCAGTATTAATTGTGACAGTTAGAAATTGATCTATTAAAAAAAATATAGTAATGAAACTGAAAACCTGAAATAAACTCTACACACACAAAAGACTAAAGATCAACATAATTTAAAGATTTAAACTATTTTTAAACCCAAACTGGAAAACCACTCATATAACCAGTAATATACGTAAATGTAACAATGAGGGAATATGACAAAGCAAGTAACCCCAAAAAATTCAAGGCTGTGGCTAGTATTTCATTGAACCAGGGGGAAGAAAAAATACAACTGCAGAGAGGAGGCCTGAATTGTTACTGCCAGACATGTTTTAGTACAATTGTTTTTTCCAAGAATCTGCATGTTAGGTTAATAAAATCTTCTTTACTAAAGTTATTCACATTATAGGTACTCTATTAAAGCAAACTACATTCAAGATGTCATCTGCTCCATCATGACCTACCCTTGTTCTAATTGCAAAAAAAAAAAAAAAAAGCCCCAAACAAACAAAAACTCATTCCAATTTCTCTTTGTATTAAGGCTTTCATTTTAAGTCTAAAAGGATTCTCATTTTCCCCGAGTTTTGATTCAACCATTATATAAATAATTCTCTAGCAGAATGAAGTAGTTATTTCAGAGTTACGTATTAATTACTATCATGCTAAGTCAGTTTTTATTCCAGGAAAAAATGATTAAACGGTAACAGGACCTCACTACTTTTTCAAATTACAGTACTATTGTCTAACCGAAGTCTTGTTGTACAGTCTAACCAATCCCAGCTAGAGCACTAATATTCAATTATATCAAACCCTACAGACTTAGTAGCTTCCACCACATAAAAATGTTACTGTCCTCTGTGCAAAAGGCAGGAGGTAGAGCAGTATTAAACTTATTAATGTAACATCATTCACTCTTTTCCAAACAATTAAGCACTCAATTTAAATACTAATTGCTAGCAAATGTAAACAAAATATAGCTATTTACATCTAGGATTAAATTCATTCTGCACTGCTTTTGATTTAATGCATCTCTATTATCACATACTTGTACTTTAGCTACCTTGTAAAAATAAGAGTG